GAGGGAAGCCGGGTGTTGATTTTATATTTTCATTCAAAAAGAAGGAGAAAAATTATTACAGACTAAGCGATGGTGCTCCCTCGTGCCCCGTGCGACCTGCTGGAAAGCAAAGTCACCAGCGGTGTTGGCGCTCTGCAGCTCAAAACATGAACTGGCTGGGTTGCTCCAAGGATGAATAATTTCCTCTGGGAGGTGCCCCCCTGGCCAGTGGCATTTTGCAGCTCAAACCCTCACCATTTCTATCCTGTGGATGAGGGAAGCCGGGTGTTGATTTTATATTTTCTTTCAAAAAGAAGGAGAAAAAATATTACAGACTAAGAGTGGTTTATCTGTGGATCTACTGGCCACAAGTGACCAGTACTGGCCCTCACACACAGGACGTTTGCTGGTTTCCACATGTTTTGCAGCAGAGCTCATGAGTGCTCTGACCTCCTCCCTGTTCCTGTCAAAAAAACACCCTGCAGGAGCAATCTTATGGCATAAATGATCCTTCTTATGTATTTCCCAACTGCTCCACCAGTCATTCAGCTCTGAGGAAACTGCACCCCCTGAAGCCCCTTGTCCACCTTTTGGAAAGGAAGAAACCAGAGACGTGTGGGTCTTTCCCTTCTGCACCAATCCTGTTGCATTTGGCCCAAATCTTGCAGCAGCTCCAAAATTGCAGAATATGACAGACTTTGGCTGATGTTTTCAGGTGGGCTTGTGCTAAAGCAGCATTTTTCCCCCATCAGTGCCACCAGCCCCATGAGAGCAAGGGCAGAGGGTGCTCCTCAGCCAGCCCCTGTCCCCAGGCTGCTTCTCTCATGCAGTGTGGGAGATGCTTTACCACTTCTGGTGCTCCAAGGGTTGAATTTCCTCCTAAAAGACTGAAGATACAGCAAAAGACCTGCTTGTAGAAATACCTCCAGCTCTGCCAGCAGCCAGCTGAGATAGTGCCCCTTTTTGAAAACCACTCAAAGGCAAAAACCGAAGCTTCCCCAGGGCTTGGCACGGGGTTCTTCTACTTCTCAGCCATCTCTCATCCCTGCAGGGGAACAGCCAGGGCCGAGTCAATGTTTAACTGAGCAGGGAAGGACGTGTGGGCACATCCGTGGGAGCCAGGCCCGGCCTCAGCGGCCGGCAGGGACCTCCCCGGGAGCCGTGGTCACTCACAAGGGTCCCTCCGCACTCAGGGAGGACAGCACAGGGGGGGGGTTTCCTTCTCCTTTCAAAGCCACCGCTCTGCAAAATGGGTCTGAGCTCTTCCAAGGCACACCCCAAGGTGACCAAGGTGGCACCGATGCACGCTGGGGGGGATCTGCCCACTCTCGCCACCCCGTACCGGCTCCCCGGCCTGCACCCATCAGCCACGGCGGAGTGGGGACAACCCACCTTTCACCAGCAACTTCCACCTCTCCGGGAGACCTGGTACGGGAGAACCTCTGCAGGTAAGAAGGTCATCACCTAAATATTTTCATCAGGCAGGGCTGTGGGTTTGCTTGCTGCAGGGCAGGAGGGGTGTAGGTCTGCACACACGCCATGCTGCAGGAGTGTGTTGTTGTCATTTCTGGGACATTTTAGCTTTGCAAAAACTCTTTTTTTTCCCCCTCCACAGCTTGTTTTGGAAAATGTCTCAGTCACCAGAGCTCCTTGCCCCCTGGGAACAGCCTCACTCCCCAGCATTGACCTGACGTGCAGCAACACCAGCCCCTGCACAGCCCCCCCAGTTACACACCCACTCTGCTCACCTGCTGCCACTGGGCATATCAACATCATTAGCTTAATTAGTGTTAGATTCTGGGTAATGTGCTCAGCAGGTGAAATTCAGCACTAAAATAAATTATAGCCATGTCTCACACAGGGCTGATTTCACAAGCTGAGAGGAAGCATAGGCTTCTCCCTACAGTTTCTATGTGGGAAGTCATCAGAAACCCACCTGAACATCAACATGGTTTGAGAAAGGGCAACACAGACGAAGGAGATCTGCAGTCCTAGCACTCTCCTCTCCTCTTCTCCTTTTCAAAAACAATGAATTTCTGACACACACCAAGCAGCATTAACCACTGCTGCTTCGCCAGGGCTGGGTGTTTCCTTCAGGATCATCCACCGAGAGGCATCAGGAGAAGATGAAAGCAAATAAACCTCAGGAACAACAGCAGCGATGTTCCTGGAGGGCCTGAAGATCAACAGGGGGCTTCAAGTAATTCATGACAGCAAGAACAACCAAATTCTCCTATTTTGGAAAATTATCATCTCTGAGCATTTAATAAGTGCTTGTAAAAAATGTGTACTCTTATAGAAAGCTCTAAAACCCTCTCAATAAATGTCATGTTCTATTAATTTTCATTTTCAGAAATAAGAAGAGTATATTTAAGAGTACTTGAGCAATGTATTAGTGTCTGTCTAAATGAGCAAGGCCTCCAAAAGCAGAGACTTTATTTGGTCTAGGAGGGTTCATCTCAGCTGTGTTAAACCCCACTTCCTCCAGCGGGGAGGATCTGCTGCTACTGAAGTGCAAGGGGGAAAAATAAAAGTAATGAGAATTACTTCGGCCTTACATTTTACCTTCTCCCTTAGAAATCCTTTATGCACTAATTTTTCCTGCAGATTGAGAGGCAGTAACTCCATAACCCCCTTTTTGCTATTCCAAGCTGCTATTTTAGCAGTTGAAGTCCGTATCCAGAAGAGCCGCCTGCAATGCACATTTTCACTTCAGGTGCCCATTCCTGCATGCAGGGAGCAGCCGCGGCTTGGCTCCGTGGTTAATCATTGCCAGTGCTCTGCAGAGCCCAGCAATCATTCATCCAATGGAGTAACCATCTCCCATACCCCAACGCCCTCCCTCCATCACCTCCTCTGTTCTCCAAGAGCCCTGCCTTGGCAACCTCCCATGGGGCTCCTTTAAAGGCACCACTGAAGTCACCACCCATAAAACGACCTCCAAATGATTATTTTCCTAGTAAAACTATTAAATTTGGCATCAACTACAATGTAATTCTTGCACTTTATCCCCAGCTCTCCTCCCCTGTGGCCATCTCGGGGGTCCCACCGTGTGGGCGCAGGAGCTGCTTGGCAACACCTCACTCAGCTCCACGTATAAAATGGCATTTGAATGCATCAAGGCAGTTTTCTGGGGAAATGGGTGGGATAGATCAACTCTTTTGTAAAATAAACACTTACTGCACATGCAAAAGTATTTATTTATGCAAGAAAAAAAAAAAAGAAAGGCAGCAGTAACCACTCGAGAGCATCAGTGCAGGATGGACCCAAGCCCAGATCACGTTCAGGCCTCGGTGAAGGCACCGCTTTAATAAATAACAGGCAACCACTGGTGTGTAGCACATTATTTCAGGTTGATTTCCAAAAACGATGAGCATCTGTGATCATACCCCTTGTGTGTCCATAACCTGCTCACTTCTGAACCCACCGGCTGGCTGCAGCCCGGCACTGCTGTGGGCAGTAGAAGCATCAGAGATGTTTCTCATTTCCACCAAAAAAAAAATAACAATAATAAATTCTTAAGGACTAAGCAGCAAGAAGAGGTCCAGACTGCTGCCTGTTCCCCATTTTAAGGGCTTGGAGAGGTGACAGGAGGCATGGAGGGTCACATATAGGGTACATGAGAGGTTGTAGAGGGAAGTAGGAGAGCTACATGGCAGACATCTGTTGAAAACTGCAGGCATGGGTACATCCTCGCTTTATTTCTGCAGTTAATAAAATGATTTATCTCATGTGTTATCTCCAAAAGGAGACATTAGTAGGATGTGCCAACCAAAAAAATCGGGCAGAAAACTGATGCTGAGTACAGCCTAGCAGTTGGTGAACACCCAAAAGTGACTTGATCCATTTCTTCTCCTTCTTTAACCTCTAAGGGCCCCTTTCTTTCAACACCGTGCCGGAAAAGGGAGAGACCAGCATCATTAAACAGCACCCACCTCGAAGACCTCAAGTAAGGCGAGTTTGAAAAGCTCCCCATGAGTTGCTGTGGTTGATCCCTTGACGTGGGCTTTCTGGGGGACACATTGGATACATATCACAGCACCAAGCTGGGGGAAAGAAATATGCGAGTAGGAGGTCATATCTGTAGATGATCCCTGCTGGATGAGCTTTATCACCAGCCCAAGGTTGGTATCTGGGGCAAAGCAGGTACACAGAGAGGTTATGTTCAGTTCATTAGCACAAGGGAGAGGACTTCACCTTCTATGAACAGCCAGAGAGGGGACAACGCAGCAAGGTCCTGCCTTTGCCCTCCTGCCTGACTCCATGGGTCCAGCTTCACTGGCCAGCCCTCAGGTGCTCTGGAGGCACCCAACAAGGACATACGTCCCAGGCTGGCTGGCCTTGATGCCATCTCTCCTGTAATTACCCAATTTGTGGCGTCTGGGTACCTGCAGCCATATCTTAGTGCTCCCATGGGGGCACTGTGGCCAAGGCAGAGCCCTTTGCAGAAGGGATCTAATGTGCTTCACTTGGGGCTGGTTCTGGCTCCTCCATCTCCTTCCTGTCCCTGTCCTGCACTTCCCAGGTCCCTTTTCCTCCAAGTCCTGAAACCCACGACTCCACTTGAGCTGGCAATTGGGATTTTTTTCCCACACAAGAGTTTCTACAATGTAACTAAACCTCCAAAAATATATTTACCGCCATATAATTTACTGCAAAGAAGGGAAGGAAACACCAGTAGAGTACCAAGTTGCACAAGGGTTAGAGTTGCTATTTCATTAAAGAAAAAAAAAAGTGGCAAGAAGCCCTCCACATTCATTTTCTGTGCTGATATTTTTATGCCCTGATGCTTTTATACAGTATAAAACCTGGGTGAGGCTCAGGCCACCACATGCTCACAGGGCTAAGCTAGAGTTGCATTACTTGGGGCTGTACAATTCTTGCCTTAAATCAGGTTATTTCCAACCCAAACGCAGAGAAGTGCACCAGTTTCTGTGCTCCACCTGCATTTCCATTGCTTCTTTACACCCTCCCAAACCCATCAGCAATACCTTCCAGCTTCCTATCTTTTACCTGCTTGCTATTTAAGATGCAAAGCTCCAGGTGTTTGGCCAAGATTGAAGTGTCCCTCCTTCCCTACCAGGCTCAGCCCTGCTCTGGATGTCCCAGACCTGCAGCTCCCCAACTTTGCTCCTCAGCTCTTTCTCTTTCAGAGCCCCAGCCTGAGGCTTTCAGCTGTTTCTTGTCTGCTGCATGGCCCAGCTCTGGGGACTCCAAAACCAAGAGCAAGCAGGGCTCAGAGGAATAAAATCAGACAGGCAAAGGAGGCAACTTGAGCAGATCTCTCCATGAGTACAGCACAGTGTCAAGGAAACGCTCTTCTACTGAAAACACACCTTCACCCCTCCCCCTGTGCTCTCAATTAGGCGAGACTCTTAATTAGCAATTAAGGGCCAGTGTTGTACCTGCTGCTGAGACCCTGCTCATAGAGCCCAGCTGCATGGAGCACATCAGCAGCCTCATTAGGTGGCTGGAGGGAGTCCTCAGCAGTTGGTCTGTGGCTGGGGACAGAGGCAAACACAGTTCTTGGCTGTTTAACCCATGAAAGAGCCGTGTTTGCCCCGGACTGTAGGTGCTGGCTTACCCCAGCAGCTTGGACCAGCGGATCCTTTTCCTACCCAGCTGCCTGGAAAACCCCTTGCAATTAAAATCCTTGGTGACCATCTCACCTCCCCATGCTGCTCTGAGATGCCCCTGCTCCTCCCCAAGAGCATCTCCACTCTCCCAAAACTTGGTGGCACATGTTCCACAGCTGCAAAGCTGCTGAAGCAGGGGTGCTTTGCTCAAGCCGTCATTGCAGTGATTATTGATATAATAAAGCCACCAGACAGGGGCAGTTGAAAACCAAGGCTGTGGCCCTGGCCAAGACTGGTGGCTTCAGAAAGCACATGCGGCCACCAGCTTTCGAATACCGTGACCCTGGATTTGGTGGGAGGATGAGGCAGCAGCACCAGGAATGAGCCCAGCTACACCCGTGGAGTCACAGCCTCATTTAAACACCTCCTACCAGCGTGTAGTTTTCAGTTATTGATCTTATTTTCATCACGGCTGTATTTATGTATTACTAAAGCACAGATAATGCTCGTCGCAGGACAGCAACACTGTTAATCATACCCCGTGCTTCTGCCATTGCTGTTAGGGAGTGTAAACAGCCCAAGGAAAAGCCCTTTTCCCTGCAGGATCATTTTCAAAGACAGCTGAGCAGGATGACGTGGCCTTCTTAAGGACTTTTAGAGGATTTTGGTCAGGGAGTGTTACCAGAGAAAAATCCCATGAGGTTCGCAGACACAAAAGAGTCGATTTTCCAGCCTGCAACACAGCTTTAGCCGAAAACCTGAAGCTTGGCTTCCCCACCCGGCACAGCGAGAGGAGCCGATGGATGAGGAGGTCACCTGCCTTCAGCCACCCTGCCTGGCTGCCTTGGTGGCATCCGGGAGTGATGCACAGCCCCGACCGCAGCTTGTGGTGTCACATGCTGCCATCTAGTGCCATTTTTTTAAGCTTCATATTCAGTCTTGTGGGGTTTTCTGATGCTGAAAGACGTGGGAACTTGGCAGTGGGGACTGATGCAGGATGCCTCCTTTACATGCTGCTGCAGACCTTTCTTCCTCCTGTGTTATTGCACTGACTTACAGGATGCTTCAACAGGGGTTCAACGTTTCCTCCCCCTGAAGTGTAAGTCAGGTCTTACTGCTGAAGTTCTTGATGATGCTTCCTTTAATTATTATGAAAGCTGGACTGAGCTCTCGTCCTAGGTGGGACACTGGCAATATCAAGCCATGAAATGGCCCAGTATCATCGAATAGTTTGGGACCATTTAAGGAGACGACTTTGCTCCTTGAGATAAAAATCCATGCTGAGAGCAGTCTGTAAAGCAAGTCTCTGCCCACTTCCATTAGCCACCAGGAAAGGCACTTTGCACCATGCAGACTCTTGCAGTGAAAGGTTGCACTCGGGCCAACATAAAAGAGACTGGTTGGACAGGGGGAGTGGTGCTCTGGGTCTCAGGTAACTGGGATCTGCCCTCAGTTGACCTGCTGGGAGACTTCATATTAAATTCTGATGCATCTCCATGATTTAGCTTTGACATGAAGCAATCTGGGCGGGGGTTTGTTCTTTACTCTTGTCTTGGATGGAGCCTTGGGCACTGCTGAGGCTCAAAGAGAAGTATCTACAGGGATAAAACCAATTTCAAACTGGGGTTTTGCCACTTTTACCTCAATGCAGGAAATTCCCTCAGTTTTGTCCACTCCCAAAGGACCATAAGAAATGTTCATAACCCTGAGCATCAGCTAGAGATGCCAGTCTCCTTCCTGTATCCCACGCAGCTGGGCCAGAATTGGCGTTGGAAAAATGCCAGGGTAGTTTTATATCAGGTTTAATAATTGTGTGGAATGAGGAATGCTGAATATTATAAATATTGGACTTGCAGAGGCTTGAACCTGCCGGCCCTCCACAAGCAATCGCTCCTGCAAAGCCCTGGGGTCAGCAAGAAGTGGCTGCAAGCCCAAAAGTGAAGGTAAGCACACAGGTAACACCCCCTGCAACCTCAAACGTGTAGAAGTGGGTCCTCCCTTCAGATCGTGAGGTGATCTTGGCCAGAAAACTCAAAGCAGTAACACCTTGAAGGACAGAACAATTTATACGTTGCTTTAATGAGGATTTTTCTTTCCATCACGCCCCAGAGCTATGAGATAAACTGCAAGCACAGTGGAAATCTGTGACAAATTTTCACAAGTTGGCTACATGGGGAAAAACTCATGGCCTTTATCTGGGGAGCACCCGAGGGGCCAGGTGTGGGTTTGTGAGCTGGTGGCTGCTCCTTTCTCTTCCAGAAAGTGCGGGTGTATTTATTTACATTCCTAAACACCTCGTAGGCTGTGGAGAAGAGGGGGCAAAGCCTGAGACACCCCCCTGGCAGGCGGCAGCACTTGCACAAGCTGCAGATGCTGGACCTGACCCGCAGGCGCCAAGAGGTAATGCTGAGATGGGTTTGGGGAGAGGGCTTCCCCTCTCGGGTCGGGGTCTGCCCATCCCTGGTGTCCTCCCATGGGAAGAGCAAATAAAGCTTTCTTGGTGGTTTAGGCAAGGGAGCATCCCTGGGGTCCCCACAATCAGTAATTACTTCTGATTTTTGCTCTGCTTTGCCCTCATTTGGCTGCAGCCCATGGAGAAAGCAAAAATATATCTCTCCGGGTCATGTTCAGTCACATACCCAGCTTGGCAAATACCGTTTGCCCCTCGGTTAAGCCACTCGACTGCCTAATTATTTTCAGTGCCAACCCCCTAATGATGCGCCATGTAGAGCTGTTAAAACGTGCTTGCTCTTCTGCTGCTTGTGTTGATGACTCGTTTGCAAACCCAGGCAGAGCTGAGGCGAAATCTCCACAGGGAGTCAAAAATCAATAAACAAAAACCCAAGGAACTCAGCCCAAAGAAAGTCCTTGACGCTCTCCAGAGAGGAGACAGCGCTGAAATCCAAGAGCTTGTCCCTACTGAGCACAATCAGCGTTTTCATGGAGACGACTGTGGTAAGTAGAATAATTTTCCAAGGAGATGTAAAACTTCTCATCAGAGAAATTTCCCTATGGAAGCTGCTTCTGCTGCTCCATCTCCTGCTGTGACATGGGGCAAGTTCAAAAGACTGGGAGCGGGGGGTAAGTGGTCATAAGGCAAAGAACTGGGATGCCTCAGAGCAGGACGCAGGTCTCTGGGCTGCTTCTCTGATAGCACTCAAACAGACCTGAGTAGATTAATTGAGTGCCATGGAATAGCTGTTGAAGCGTAAAAGCAGAGTCTGCACATGGTGCAAACAGCTTAAATCTTCAGCTAGAGTCAAGCAGGTTGGGCTTCAGAAGAGCTCTTCTACTGCTCCACATTGGTTACATCTCAATTTTTCCTGCTCTGAAGAAAGCAAGCGTGGTGCTCCCTCACAGCAAAAGGGAAATCTGTGTTATTTGAGGATGCTGGTTATTTTTAGGGACTTTGTGAAACTGGTTTTTGGCAGAACGGTCAGCCATGTCTCTCCCCTTACTGTGCATGGACTGAAGGAGGGTACCCGCATACATATTGGGGTGAACCTTGCAGTAAGGCTGGCACAGAACCCTTGGGCACTTTGGGAAGCTGGAACTGGGCTCAGCAGGAGAAAGCAATGGAGAATGAGGGATGTGCTCCTGGCTTCATCATGGCATGGTCCACCAATATGCTGCACTCATCTGCGTGGCGTAGCCTCTGGACTCCTGCCACCCTTAAACAGCCATGAGGTAAATGTTGCAGTCACTGAGGTTACTCAGCTTTTAGGTTTAGTTTTATATGGGAACCGCTTCCCACTGCCCAGATCCAGGCAATTTCCCTTGCAGATTTGCACTCCTCTGGGTGATGTGCAATTAAGGTGAGATGTTCCCAGTTCGACCATTTCCAGCAATGACTCCGTGTTACTTTCAATGTCTGATGTGACAAGACATTAGATGAAATTCGTTTAACAGATCTCAGCTCTCTTGGTCAGGCGTCCCTGCTGCAGCCTGCGCCGTAGCGCAGGAGGGAGGATGGTGTGGTCTGTGTGCCAGCAATTCCAGCAAACACCCAGCAGGGACTTTAGGTTGGATATTAGGAAAAATGACTTCACTGACACGGCTGTCAAGCACTGGAAGGGGCTGCCCAGGGAAGTGGTAGAGTCACCATCCATGGAAGCGTTTAAAAGACAGGGAGATGAGGTGCTTAGGGTCATGGTTTAGTTGTGGACAGGTTATGGTTGAAGTCCATAATCTTAAAGTTCTTTTCCAACCAAATGATGCTGTGATTCTGACTCATCCCCCCTATGCCTTGAGCGAGCATGGAATGGACGTAGAGTAATTCTAGAGGTTACCAAAGCACCCGGGTTGCTTTGGATTTGGCAATGACTGTTCTAAGGCTCAGGGCACTGGTTGGTGCAGGCTCGGGGAGCAACTGGGGGAGCAGGAGATGCCAGGGCACACAAGATGGCCTTGTTGTCCCCAGTGAAGGGGAAATACAAGCAAATCTCAGCGACCACTTCATACTGACATCCCCAAGCCATGAGCTCTTTTCTGCTTTGCTTGCATGTGACAACCTTTGGCACAGGCTGGAAATGCATCAGCAAGGGTAAAAATGCTTAAATCAGTGAAAAACGTGCCTGCCAGTGAACTTTCACCAGGAGAAAGGGGAACAAACTTGGCTGCTCCTATTACCTCGTGTTTCTTCCCCTCAGCTCTCTTCTCCTCGGGGATAAAACCATCCTGCCTCTTGCCAGACTACATAACTTCATCAAATATAACCCTGAGTACATCACGTCTGGCCCTGCCCAGCCCCGAGCATGGGGTTTGGTCTTGCAGGGATCCCTCAGGATCTTCTGTACATGGCTCCAGCTGCCATTTCCAGTTAAACTCTGGGAGATTGGGCACGCAGCTCCACAAAACTATGATTTTTTTCTTTTCTCTCCCCAAGGAAACACAGTGGGTGGAGGACTCTTCAGGCCACATGATGAGGCTGAGCTGTCTCCAGGCAGGAGCAGGAAGGCTGACCTGTTGTTCTGCAAGGAGCCGCGGGTGAGGGATCTGTTCTGGGACACCTCCAGCACAGGCTCTGAGGAGTGGGAAAGGGAAGAGAAGAAGATTTACCACAAACCTGTGCTTGTGAGAACCAAGACGGAGAGAATTTCTCTCTTTGATGACTTCTTTGACAAGGATTTCTAGGGGCATGGCTTGGGGTGCAAGGGATGTGCTGAAGGAACAAGGCCCATCTCTGGTGGGGCTCAAAACCCTCCTGGATGGATGGACCGAGGGTGGAGGCACGATGGTCACAGTAAGTGACATTTCTGGGAGCATGGGCCAGCAGAAAGGACAGCTGGAAGTGAGGAGATCACCAATGTGGAGTCAATATTGACTGCTTTTGTAGCTGGATCAAGATATCCAGGGAAAAAATGTCTTGGGATTATCAACAGTGAAGTAGGGATAGGAGGAGGCTGGCAAAGAAACCAAGCAGAAGCTGGGAAATACTCTGGGTTAACCCCAAATATGAAGTTCCAGCTGAAATGAAATGTTTCACTTGCCTTTGGGTTACTCAACCTTTCTGTTTAACCTTTTTATTGGACCTTACATGCTTTTCTAAACCACAAAACCCCAGTTCAAAAATGCAAGGTAAAATGATTCATTTAGGAAATCTTTAAAATAAATATTCTGGCATTTCTGAAATTCCTTCTTGAGTTCTTAATTTATTTATTTTTTTTAATTTCCTCTCCTTCCCCGCCCCAGACATGGAAATACATGTACCTTCTTCAGTAATAACCTCCAGTTTTATGGATAATCCTCTGAAAACGCTGCCTTTCCTTCACTTGCTTTCTCTGTCCAGGGTTCAGTGTTGTGCAGTGAGTGGTGGAAACTGGGAGATCTCCAGCATCTTCTGCAGGCCCATACCCTGGTGGTGCTGGCCAAGGCTGCTGCATCCACTACGAATTTGAACAAGCTGCCCTGTTACAACCTGACATTTTCAAGTATATTGAAAAAAGAGTGTTATATGAAGGGTACCAGATCTATCAGAGAGACAAATGCAGTTTCCATCTCTCCTAGGCTGTATTTTTTCATAGAATTATCTGCTTTTCCTTATAAAATAATTTGTTATCTGAGAACTTTGCCCAGTCTCCTATCTGGTTGCCTTTGTATGTCCGTAAAGGCCACTGCAGTAAAAGTGCATCGTCTTTGTGCAACACAGTAAGTCACTCAAGCACAGATATGAAACGATTCCCTGGGATTTCAGTTATGCAACTTATGGTTATTTTAATGTGACAAACTGGATATGTGGAGGACTGGTGCTACACAAGTCGGGGAGAGAGCCCACCACCAACCCTGGCCCTGGGAAAAGGACCTGCCTGATTCCCAGCATCAATTTTACCTGTGTTCGAAGTTTGGGGCTGATGAAGGGCATTAACTCCTCCTCGTACCTCCTGCGGGTGTCCCCAGGTTGCTTCCCACTTGGTCTCTCTAAAACCCACCCAAGGGTAAAACACCTTCAAACCAGCTCATCGTCACAGGACGGGGACTCCTGGAGTTACAAATACAATCATCATCACAGTGGCTTTAATTTCCTTCATTTGGAAATCCAATCCTCCTTACTTTTCAAGAATAACTGGACCTGGAGTCGGTTCTTGATGATCCAGGACAGTGCAGGGCTCGGGTAGCTCAGGGCATGGGAAGCACATCCTGCATCTCTGTCTCGAACCTGTGCTACCTCCCCCAAGGCTGTTTTGGATGTGTTGGCACTGCATCCTCAGCTTCTTGGATTACACAGCCAGAAAAAGAGCAGGAGACACATTTTCACACATACTTAAGGGAATTAGACACCTGTGGCTGACTTGGCTTCAACGGTATTTAGCTATTTGTCTCTCTCAGGCTGTATTGAAAATCTCAGGTAGAGTTGGAAATCACAGCCAAAGCCCCAAATCAAAGCCGGAGCCACTCAGCACAGAGCTTCTCTTGTCCTGATTTCACCTCTCTCTCTTTTTGACATCCCTAAATGTATGGTCCTTTGCAGCGTGTCTATATCCTTCATGGAGAAAACTGCTCCTTGGAGGAAGCCCACACACTCTGTGTGATTTTGCTGAAAAGCCAAGAAAACAAACCCCAGTGCAGAGGAGGAGGAAGAAGAGAACAGATTTTAATGAGAAAGGAGAACTACTCGTGGCTAATGAGTCCACGTCCAGAGCCTGTCTGTTTAAAAAAAAAACAACTGAACTTTGCAGATAGACATGGTCATCATGTGTGAGCTGGAAATATCATGGGAGCTCTGAATACCCAACGTTGAGGGTATGCCGAAAAGGTCACTGATTTAATGGGCTGGAACAATTAATCTGGCACTTGTCTATACACCTGTCCTCTTAATGATGTGACACATCTCCCTTCTGCGTTCCCATCTGTCAACAATTAAGCTATAATTGGTGGAAATGCAATTTATTTCAGATAGAGCTGATTAGTTTTCCAATAATCACGTTGCCAGCACTGGGGAAGAGAGCTGCCCACGGAGAAGAGTGTGTGGACCAGTCAATCCACATCACAGACTGCACAGGGAAGAGACTCTGAGCATTAATTTATCCATTTACGGCGTGCAAAATTTGCTCTTATGGAGGCGATAAAATCAGCAAACCTGCTTTCAACTGCTGGTGCTCGAAATTGTTTGACTGTGCTGCTCTCAATGGTATCAGTTTGTCACAACCTGTAGAGAGGCAGATGGCAACTCACCCTCTCTGCTCCTGCACGGGTGCGGGATGAGTTTTAAAGGATAACAATGAGGACCTTTGCAGGACTTGATTTTGGTGGTGTGGAGCAACGCGTGGTCAGAGGAGGAAGAGCCAAGAGAGGAGGTTTCAGAGCAGGGAAGCAGAGTAGGATTTATTTGACCTAATTCTAGAGATACGTAAGGTATATCTCTATTATACATATAATATACAATATATATGCTCTATGCTCTATGCTCTATGCTCTAT